ACGGGCTCGAAATGACTAAACGTTTGCCATCTGCCTGTGTTGGGAGAACCAAACTGAGCTGATAATCTATTCAGGAGAGAAAACGAACGCCAGAACAGGTTGCCCATAAGGTGATTGGGAAAGTTTTCAAATGGCTAAATTGGGAGCCAGGCTATGGATTTCCAAATATTCCATACATATTCGATGATCAGATGAAAAAAAAGAAACAAACATCAAGAACGCTAATAAAATGACTACAAGATTATGCAGTTCCAGTCCAAACTTGCAGACCATAAAAAAGACAAAATTTAAATGACATGTGTGCTTCAGAGATCTCCGACGCGAACGAATACTTTTACGGGTCTTTATGTTGTGATTCTAGGATTTCTGTGGCTAGAAAAAAAAAAATTTCTGCGGCCCCATCTCTTGTGCCGGGACCCATGATCTGGGCAGGCAGTGAGTTCACGACCCCATGTTCCGGATGAGCAGTGGGCTCATATATAAACTGAAACATTCTTGTTAATCATAGTGTAAGCGTAGTAATTTTTGATTAGTTTTTCACCTAGGCAGCTGACAACTCTCTTAGTTACTTCGACCAGTGCTACTTCACCTGACGGTCAGTCTGCTCGCAACCGTGTGCTTTGTTCCGTCTCCAGAAGTGATGGTCAGCATAGCAGTTCTTCATACTAAATACTGGAAAATTTAGAATGGTACTAAGTTGCTGATGAAAATAATGAAGTTAAGCAGTTTTTAAAGGTTAAAGCAAAAGGGGTAGGACGTTTCTTCCGACCGCATGTGTAATTTGGTCGTGGTGTAGACCAACGAAGGAAAACAGTCGAATTTTAAAAATGTGGTTGAACTCCAAAAGCACTTGACAAGGCTATTTGGCTGTTCAGAGATGCCCTCGATGTCCCTTGAACGTGTCCATTTTGATTTGGACGTTGCGAATTCTAGACCACGATAGGATTTCTTACCGATTAGGAGTTGTCCACTGATATGCAATCAAAATATCAACAGAACTTTAATAAGGCACTTTTATTGCGGTAAAGTTGCACTGATAAGTTACCACAGGCAAATGAGAGTGTACCAGTAGAATGCCTATGTTAGGCCATGAAAAATTCTTGAAAAGATACAAAAGTTGTATAAACACAGAAAAACAAATGCAACAAAGATTTATGAATAAAAAAGAAAATTTCACAAGAAATTTCACATGTAAAGAGTGTTAGTTGGGATAAAACTAAACGCTACGGGAAAACCCGCAAAAATGCATTATGCCGAGATCATGTCCGTCCTTCTTTTTATGGATCTTGCTGAGAACTCGAGGACTTGATACTCGAACATTGGAATCAGCCTCTGCTTGTCCAACTGTGACCTCACGTTCAAAATCAGTCTGGTAATGTAAAATGGAAGCAAACAAAGTGACGAATTTGAGATTCAGGAACCAACTATGTAATGCGAATATCCCCTCGAGATTTATGGCTTCTAAGGCGATTTGCTTCGCTTGTGATCCCTAAAGTTCAGATTCAAGTTGATGGCCCCCATGATGGCTAAGTTGGCGAATTCGAAATATCGGCTCTGTGCAGCACTACAGCAAGCACCGACCCATGTCCATTTTCTACAGTACCAATACCAAAAATTTTTTTGCTTTTTTAGTGGATGACGGATGCTTCAGGACCAATACCTTCTGGATTTTCATTACATTCAGTAACGAAATGCACTATCGCCAAACTACTGTGGCACTGATAATATCTTGGACGGTGTCAGTGGCAGAAAAGCTGGGAGGCCGAAACTTTAAGGGGATGTTCCTAGCCCATGTGCAACTTAACGATTTCAAATTAAGGCTTCAAGAGTGTGTGGTTCTCATGTACGGCCGCTTCATACGTGACGGAACGAAACTATGCCATTCCTGTGTTTTTTTTTAGAACCACCGTTGTCCCGAAAAGATCACATGGGGCAGGGGTGAAAGGTCACACGCAGTAAGTGAGAGAGAAAATGCTCGAGAGCTGCGTCTAGAGGAGGCCCCTGGATAAATCGATGATCACAACCAACGAGAGCAAATCGAGAGATCAGAGTGCTTCTAGAAAAACAGCATAAACGAACTGTTGCTGGCGTATGTCAGGACCATACATCCGCCTGATAGCGCCGCTGTCGTTCCATGTCTTTCTGGAATGCTTGAGCATCGCTCTCGGTCTTCCTGCCGATCTCCGTGTAGATCCGAATGAATGTATTCTGCACATCACGCGCCATATTTCGTGCATCACTGCAATCAGTTATAGTATGAGCAAGCGATGTTTTTTCCTGAAGTGATCTCAAGTGCTGCTACGATTCCCCCTCCTCCCTGCTTGACTCGATTTTCAGTCTATTAGCATGTTTTTTTATTGCATACTTGAGCAATTGCTACACGTTTTTATGTGTTTTTTGTATATTTATTAAGACTGGTATTTGTAAAGGCTCGAAGTTGAAGTTTGGGAAGTATGTGGTCCTATAGTGACTCAAACCCAGACCCCTGAGCATCATTCCTCGTGCTGTACTGGAACTCGAGTTACATTTCAAGTAACTGGGATCACTATTCATATTATACTCCAATCAGAGACATGCACCTCATCTTTTGCTATGCACAAAGTGGGTTGCTATTTTCTGTCTGGAAAATGTGCTCAGCCTACTCATTTGGTGCTCTTCGTGTGGCGTTTTTCTGTTTGACGATTCCTTATTCGCTTCTTTCAGAAGCCGCTGCAATCCTCTTCAGCCGAAGTTCAACCGAAACCGCTTGTGAAAATGAGCAAGTAAGTCTTCACCAAATCAAAAATTAAAACTTCTTCTTCTGCTGAACAGCAGCACACTACTAACTGCATTTTTTGCAGATCGACGAAACCACGTTCTGAGATGACCGAGGAAGAGTTGAGAGCAAAAGAACAGGAGGAATTCACTGTGGGGCCTCTTTCTTTGCTCACTCAGTCCGTAAAGGCCAACACGCAAGTGCTGATCAACTGCCGAAACAACAGGAAGCTTCTCGCCCGAGTCAAGGCTTTCGATAGGTTCGTTTGCGAACACAATTCTAAAGGCTCGCATAAGAGAGTGAAAACGAATGAAGCTGTCGTTGCGTCAGCACAACAGCGGAAAGAAATTATTTTTTTTTTTTTGTGATCAAAAAATGCTTCATTTTCGGAAAAATTTCTAAAAAAAAGTTTAAAAAAATGTTGTTTCGTCCAATCTTCTTTTCCGTAGAAAAAGTTATTTTGTTCTGTTCATTATACGTAAAATCTTCAAACGGCGAGAAAACTTGTTATACGTAAAATCTTCAAACGGCGAGAAAACTTGTTTAAAACAAGGATTTTTATATAAGGAGAAAGAATTGACCCTTTACGCAACAATTTCACGTGACTGAGCGGACAAGCCTAATCATTTTGTAATGGGTAACTTTATAAAATTCGGACAATCGACTTGTTTTACTTGAATGGTTAGGTTTGTTTATAAGAAGGCTCGAGATGAAATTTGCCAATGAGTTGCAACGAATTAACTGGCGATTTAACTAATATTTCTACATGTCAGTTTGATTCCTACCAAGACTATCTGGGTGCATATTCCATGTTAATGATGTTACCGGGTTCATTACCTTGACTCATGCCGATGGTAAAAATAGATTCTGTCACATGCCTGACTGCTAGACAGCCTTCAGCATGTTTTTCAAAGCATTCCTGGAAGAGGTACTTATCAATACTATATAAGCAGTAGGTAGTTGCTGCTGGCGATGTGCCACCATTCGGGTCGCTTCGAAATGCTTCGTCCTCACAAACGAAAGGTAGGAAGCGGCCAAAACAGCTGCGAATTCATTTCAATCTTGGATGCTTAGTGGTAGTATTTTTTCCAGACACTGTAATATGGTGCTAGAGGACGTGAAAGAAATGTGGATGGAACTGCCGAAGACCGGTAAAGGCAAAAAGAAGGCGGAAACGACGGCCAAGGATCGGTACATTTCGAAAATGTTTTTGCGTGGTGATTCGGTAATTATTGTTGTAAAGAATCCATCGGGTTATACGCAAAAAACAGTCACAACCACAACTAGCTGACGTGACGGAATTCGAAAGTTCGAAAACTGCAAGTGGTACAATTGCCTGCATTGTGTTTCCTTTATTATGTTATGTATTTCATGTTTCTAAAATATTCAGTTGTGCGATGCGTGCACGGAATTCATGTTTCGAAAATAAAGTATTATAAGGAAAGCAAAAAAAATGCACGAATGACTTAGCAATCTGCCTCCTCCAGTTAAATTATTCGACAACAAACACACATCCTCCACGCCATGGTCGTGTAATAATGCGTTTTCTTTTTACTGAGAAACGCAAAAAATGGTCATATAAGCGCTACCCACTTGCAAGTAGGGGTTGATATGCGAGATCTACGATATTTTTTAGGAATTTTTTTTTTGCCAGGTTTTGCCATTTTGCCAGATTAAGAGTCGCAGTGGTGTTTTCCAAGCACACATCTTCACAGTGTCAAATTTCTCTGTTTGTTTGGGTTTTGTGGAGGCGTTGAAAAAAACACGCAGGGTTTGAATAAACAGTCTTTTCTGACCTCTCACTGATGCTACTTCTGAAATTTCGAAAGAGTAAGCTCAAAGGTAAGCATCATCATTAGTGTTTAATTAAGACGAAAAAACACCGTGGAGGGCTTAGCGATGCTATTCTTCACCGAGAACAAAAACAAGTCCAAAAACCGGTACTGAACAAAAACACCGAGAAAACAAATTACGCGTATACTTCAGGTTCGAAAACATCTAGGAATGCCAAAAAAAACCGTTCGAAATAAAGAACATAGGGATCCATGCTAGTGATTTTACCTAGATGCTCCCACAAGTATATCATCAGTAAATACCTACTACTTGTTCGATGTATGTGCGCCACTTTTGCGGAGGCTGTCCAATTCTTTGTTTACTTTTCTTTTGAAAGTAAAAGATAAACGATTTGGCTGCAAAACATACCCACAGACGTAGATGTGCGCGCCATTTTTCACTGCCTCCCATACGTTGTTTCGATTAGCCCAAAGTTTGTCTTGCACATAAATCTGAATTTCGGACAGATATGCGACCACGCAAAATACTCATTTGTTAGTGGCAAAGTGTTAACAAGCCAGCATTAGCAAATTCTTTATGGTTGCTGGGAAGCGGAACACGAAGAAGTGATTTTCGCTTTGACTCATTTTGTAGGCAGCCCCTTTTTGAAGACACAACGGGAAAAAATGGAAGGTCTACCTCTGCAGAGCAGATTTCAGTGCCGAAGGGAGCCTTTTTTAAATAACCCAGGCATGATCGCACCAAGCTTACCGGTGCGATGATGCGTTTTTGCACTAAACTCGCAGATCGCTAATAGCAGGAATGATCCTTGCCCTGTAGCCTAAGACTTGAGCTCATATTGGACGCGCTTTGGCCTCCCCTAGCATGCAGGAGAAAGGACGTCGGCTGGGATGAAGGTGTTGCATTATAAGGCCGCATGGACCTCCAGGTACGTGATTATCAGTTTTTTGCATGAAGCCCGGGATTTTTATGCGTTTTTGCTTACATGTAAATTGCAAAACGCATACTGCGACGACCCCGTCTTTACGTGCGTTCGCCTGTCCGGTTATTTCAAATCGGCAACCGAGCAAGCTCTGGCGTTAAAATTTTGCCAATGGGTTCCACGGCCAAATGCCACCCCAGGGCCACGGCACCAACCCTCACGCAGGTCTAGGCCCCGCGTACGAGAGAGTGAAAATTTTGGCGGGGAAACTGCTAAATCAGGAACGAGGAAAGCTAGAAAGCTGAAATCTCGAGGCTATGTTCCCCGTCCAATAGAACTCAAAGATTTCAAATTCAGCCCCCAGGCTAACTTGGGAACCAGGAAAGCTAAGAGGCTAAAATTTTTAGAGAATGTTCCCAGCGTAAGTACAATATAAACTTATCAAATTCAGGCCTCAGCCATGTGTGCTTCTCACGTGCGGCCCCGTGAAGGAAAAATCCTAACTCGGGAACCAGGAACGCTGGAAAGCTGAGATTTTACGAGAATATTTCCCATCCAAATACGAATTAAAGGCTTCAAATTCGGCCTCCAAGTACGTGTGGTTCTCATTTACCGGCGCTTAAACTTTTGATGGGAAAATTACTCGATGAACAGCTAGATCGCTTTCAAAAAACGACCACTAAATGAAAATTACTTATTTTTGTTTATGCAAAATTTACGGTGATTTACAGTATTGAACACATAAGTTAGGTATGAAGAAACAAACATTCACGCAGCTAACCTAATTACTTCAAGTTTGGTGCAAAAGGGCACAATCGCACCGGTTCGCCTACTGCGTCCCAGCCTGGGTTCGTTAAAATGCCCGTTTTTTGCAAAAATGCCAATTTTTAAAGATGCAAAAATTTCAGTTCTTCCTTGATAAGTGGAAATGTTGCTAAGGTGGTCGTTCCTCAAAAAATCAAAATATGTAAATGAACTGAATGTTGGAAGAGGATGGGGACGGTCGTTTACTGCAAAATTCACTCGTTTCTGAGTCTGCAGCAAAGTTGAGCATTTTCCGCAACCACATGCAGGGAATTTCACCTCCAAGCAGAATTAAGACCGTACTTAAAGGCAGAATATCTCAACGAAGTTTCAGCATCGTACCTTATCCGGTAAACGAAATAGCCACTTCGCTACAAATATCTTTGAGATGTTCTAAGTCGTAGCGCAAGTGTAAAGCGAGCTCAATTTAGGTAAACGATTTCCCATATGGACGATAAATATGCTGACAAAAGTTTACTCACTGTTTTCCTGCTAGTTTTCGAGTTAGGACAGTGTCAAATACAAACTTTGACGTGATCGTACGCGCTGCACAAGTATGCGCAGCAGCTGAATTTGAAATTTTTAGCTCGCACACGCACAGAGAAT